GAAGAAGAGGAAAGAGCGGAGTGGCCAACCCATCTGCGTCCGACAGGCACGCGCCGCCGGGCCGGGCCGGGCCGGACCCGGCGGGGCGGGGCGACGGAAGGCAGGCGGGGGCGTCGCCGGCGGCCAGCGGCGCCCACACCCACCGGCCCCCATTACGGCTGAATGAGCCTGCTTCTTCGACCCGCTGACCGCGCCCGCCGCCGCCGCACACCTTTTGGGCCGGGTAACGGCGAGACGACGCCGCGCGCGCATCCTCCATTTTCATGCTGATGGAATTTATGGACGATGGCGCTGCGAGGTGTGGGGGTGCGGATTAATGAGCTGGCGGAGAGGCGAGGGTGGGCGAGGGTGGGCGGGGGTCAGGCGGTGGGGTGATCTCTGCTGGTCGATCGGGGTGCTGACTCGGGCCTGATCCCTTCGTAACGCAGAGCCAACCCTCAGCCTGAGCTAACCGTCAGCCTGAGCTAGCTGTCAGCCTGAGCCAACCGCCAGCCTGAGCCCACCGTCAGCCTGAGTTAACCATCAGCCTGAGCTAACCGTTAGCCTGAGCTAACCGTCAGTCTGAGCTAACCGCCAGCCTAACTGAATCGTCAGCCTGAGCTAACTGTCCGCCCGGCCAGCCCGTCAGCCTCACCCGCCCATAAAGCTGATCAGGCTGCCAGCTTGACCAACACGCCTATTGAGCAGTCCACGGATCAGTCAGACACGACATAGTCTGTATGTCCCGGTCGCGAGATGGTCTGACGTGGTCTGAGGTTGTCTGACGTCGGCTGCGATACCGGTGATAGCGTGCCTGCTTTAGCTGGCTTCTTGCTTCACCCTGGCCGATCCTGAACGCCAACGTCGAAGCTGCCTCGGAGCACTTTCAGAAAGTGGCAATGTTCGTGCGGTGTAACGAGAAGCAAGTGAAGGTGGAGAAATACGTGAAAATATTAATTGTCAGTGTATAGAAGCAAGCACTTCCAGAAGACATCACACCAGAACAGATCGTGATTCGCCTTCGGCTTTTTGAAAAACGGCACGCCCTTCCATGCTTTCACCGGAACAAAGCGGATCAGCCAGTAACGAGTTCTTCTTCAAGATATCTCGCTGGCCGAAGCCACATTTCGAGCGGCCCATTAAAGACGACGCCGATGTCCACACAAAAGGAACTGAGAGCAACGCGGAACCGAACGGCACCGGACACTTGCGTAAGAAGTCGCCGCTCGAGACACGGCTGGGCCCTGTCCCGTAGCCCGGGGGCGCAAACGCTCCATAGGCCGACACGTGACGCGGGATCGCTGGAGCCGGGGTAGGAGCGCCGTTGTGAAATAGTTCGCGCTTCAGTGCATCTGTGACGTGGTATGTCTGGCAAGCGGTGGTGACGTCTTAACGCGCCGCACGTGACGTGTTAGGTCACAGTGAGAATCCGTGTCGCACTGCGTTAGGCCTATCCGTCTCTCATAGTCACCGGGCCATATCTGGGTTCCATCTGCCAGTCGGGGCGCAAAACGATACTTAAGTCGACGACGCAGTGCACAGTTTCGGTACATTTGAAACAGGGTGAGGGTCAGAGGTGTGTTTGAGGCACCTCCAAGAGGGCGCGAGGCGAGGTGCAAACCTCTACGAGATGAATATTCGTGGGCAAGCTTTGACGATGATCAGAGCATTTAAGTGGGAGATTCGAGCTCTCCTCGCCTTTCCTTAAGACAAACCTCGATAGATTAGCGCCCAGGCAGGGCTGCCGCGGGCCGCTGTTTGACATCCCGTCCAATTTTTGCAGCGTCACGCACGCTGGAGACGACTCGCACGTTACCACACAGAATGGGATGCTCCGGCGCGAGCCAAGGACGACGACTTCCTTGTACACCGGTATTGCGGGAACGAAGGTCTGCGCAACGAGAAGCGGGGGAATTGGAAGATCGTATGGTTTTTAATGGCCTGGCTATCCTGGCATTGTTTTGAGAAATGTTCTGGCGGTTCAAATGTCAAGTGGTAAGGCAAGGTCGGTGAAGGCGAAAGACAATAGCACTGGATCATAAAGTGAATCGAATACAAGCTCCAAATGTGACATGATATCGCGTTTGGTATGGCTGATTGCTCTGCCACAGTGGAACATTGGGAGTCGCTGAGATACATGTTCGGAAAACTGCACGGGCTGTATGCATTGTTCGAGAGCACGGCGGAATAAAATCCCAGTTAAATACTCGTCTGATGACTTCCGGGTCTCCATTCCAACAAAGTCTCATCAGCGGAGTGCTCACTTTAAACTCTCGTCCTTCGTGGCCGGACGGATGCATTGTCATTGTTTTCCAACGGGCGCTGAGTGCTTCCAGCTCCCTCACATCGGAGCAATTACCGTCGTTCCCGTGCTCTATGGCTGCGACGGAGCTGATGGCACGTTTCTCGCGGGAACCCGGCACCAGAGCGTGCCTGTCCACAAGGCGGCGGCGGCGCCCTTGCACGTGCAATTGCTCCGGCGCCTCCGCCAACATGCCGACCGTGAAGCCCCAGCGCGGCGGCCTGCACGGCGGGGAGAAGACAGCGAACCGGAGGTGAACGGCCGCCGTCAGCGGGGCTCTTCTCAGAACTGCTCGACCTTGCCATGTAGTTGGCAGGTTGCGCGGCACAGGGGTGACGCCGTGCACGTGAGGCGAGTGCCCCGGCCGTGTGTGAGGCAACACCGGATTGAGGATAAGGATGTTCTAAGAGGCAGTGCTAGGAACTAAGATTTGTGATGGATGATGTTTTGCAACGGCTGACTGCTGGGTGGATGTCCTTAGAATATTTACAGCATGTGCGCTCCTTTCACGTCTTAATCTATGGGCATGCACGGTCGCAGTGCATTACGCTTAATTCTTCAGGAACCAGAGATGAATTCAGGCGGACCTGACATGTGTGACATCTTGCGTTTTATTAGTTGCGAATTCAACCTAGAATCGATTCAATCAAGCCTACTGACGGCAGTGCCATTTACATCGCCTGCTGGCTTCATAAGATTTACAAGCCATAATGCAATGGTAACATGCGGCAGTGGCCCTTTGTATCGTTGATTTTATTGCGGGTATACTGAAAAGCATGCCCAATGCATGCCAAGCCAGCTGGTGCGTGGCCGTTGGAGCACTCTAGGGGAAATACATCAGGCAAAGGACATCTTCTCCACACGAGCTGTTAATTGTCCGAACGATCTGACATGTCCAAGTGACAGAGTATGCTTATCTCACTGGTAACATTCATTGTTTAACGATACCAGCTACGTAATTCGAAACCCTGCACGCTGCCATGAAGATTTGTCGGAAGAATCAGGGTTGACCTCTGTTCCCAATGTTCCTTTAACTCGCAAATTCGCGACCTGTGCTGCGAACCCAACTCATGCATATATTCAAATGCATTCACTTCTAACGAATTCTGCCTACCATCTGTCACAGATGCGTGGCTCTCCGGTTCTTCCTCCCACCTCGAAACATGCGAAAAGTACCTAATAGGTAAGTGGGACACCGCCATTGGGACGACGGCATATAAATCGACTCATTCGTGCAAATGCTGACAAAATATCGCATTGAACTGTGCTGCCTCAAACATATCCCAATCTACGAGGGCACCGGTTGGCGGACGTCACGTGCCCGCCCGACTGACCGACTCCCGCCCGGGGGCCGGCCGGCTCCGGCCCAATTTACCGACCGCGCCTAATGGCTCGGTTACGCGGACAGCCGGCTTCGCGAGCGTTAGCACGCCGATAAATTAACAGCGGCGCCGCCTGCGGAATCTGCCCGTAATGGCACGAGGAGCCAGGACCGCCGCCGTGGGAGGCGGCGGCGGCGCGCGCCGATCCCGGTCGCTGGGTCTGTCGGACGGCGCCGTCGCGGTGGCGGGTGGAGGTGGCGGCCGGCTGGCCCTGCCGCCGCCTGTCGCCTGGCCCGGGCGCGACCTCGGCCGTACAGGGGCGGTGCCTACGGGGACGGGGCCTGGGACAGGGTAGACGAGCCTGGTAGTGAGGTGATGTCGGACTAAGTATGTCAGCGCAAGATCATAGTGTGTTTCAGCGACGGAGCCTAGCCATTTCAGTCTTTTCAGTTTCATCATTTTTTTTCAGTTGATTAGTGTGCTGCGCGCCATATGCTGCGCACCATCGTGCCGCGTACCACAAGTAACTTAGGTATTGCTTGGGGTGCACAAATTGGCACACAAATTTCAGGCAATCACTACATGAGAAAAAGGACAAATTCCTGCATAGCTCATTCAAATTCATCTAATTTGTGCATTAAGCGAGAAAATTGGGGCTGATCGACTGTTATGTTCAACGAAATACGTGCTGCACCCGTACATTATCATTTAAATTAACCCCTGCATAGATAAGGAAGTCGATACTGAGTAATGGGTGCATGATGCACATTCTAGGCTTATTAGCACCCGAAGCTCATTCGCGTGCAATATTTACTAAGGACGAAGGTGCGTTGGGATTTTGCGTTGCTAAAACGGTTGTTAAGGGCGGTTTTGCATTATTTCTAGCGTTACGACTTTGGCGCACTTGACAAGCAGTAAAGCATGCAACAAGGCGTGGCGCAATGTCATGTGTAAAAATGTGGCATGAATAAAATGATCAAGCATAATTATTTACTGCAGAGCGTATTTTGCCACTTTTCCAAAAAGAGAGAACTAAGTTTGTTCCCTAACGCACATATACCTACTGTGTTGTGAACTCATGCTTTTGGATAAGGCCATGGACAGTTTCAGGCCTATATTTGCAGTTCAAGTGACGAGTGTGCATGTTTGCACTTGCATATACAATATAAATAACAGAACTGCCGTCCATTGTTCAGAGGATTCAAGTGACAGATGCATGATTAAGAACTGGGGCCTTTGTGAAGGCGGAAAGACTTATCAAGTTACAGCAGACGTATAACGACAGCATAGGCAGTAATGCAAAAGTGCTATGCAAGTTCACATCGCAAACAACCTGAAAAGACGCACGGAGAAATAAAATAATAGATTCATACAAAGTCCATGCCCACTGCTCTTACCTCGTATTCATGATGAAATCACAAAAGATGTGGAGAGTCGGCACGACCACCGGTCACACTGATCTGGATGTCCGTCAGTCTCTGCTCCCTCGCTACCCTGCTCTCTGCGCCGCTGAGTCTCGAGATACTTCCCCCGCCTGCACTAGCCCTTGACTGGGCGACCGGCCGGCTGCAACCTTTATTTGAGCGCACCGGGACAGTCGCCTTCTGCGAGTGGTGCTCCCTTCAAAATCGCCCGCGCGCCGGCCTGTAACACGAACTTTCGCCCGCCGCCGCCGACTCGGACGCACCGGTTTCCCGCCAAACGCAGCAGACGACGGCCCGCGCTGGTTGGTCGGTCACAGCGCATGCGCAGTGACGGCTTCTGGAGCGGCTCGCCTCGGGTCAGTGGAGGGTGCTACGGCAGTGCAGGTGCAGGCTCGGCATGAGATGGGGGTCCGTGGCGTGTCTCAGAGCTCCGAAAGGATCCAAATGCTGTTATGGGCTGTGCTCATTTAGGTGTGATTGATTGATGTTAAGACTGCAGTCATAACATATGCAATGAGTTCAAGCTTATAGTGTGAGCGTGGTGTCCATGTTACCTCTAGGCTTGAAGAATGGCGTAGTGGATAAGCAATCGGTCTCTATTTTCACACTAGATCGATCGTGTGTTATCTGCTGGATTCAAGTGAAGTCACTTCTCAAAGTTGAGAGCTTATTGTAGCTTGATGACTTCAAGGAAAAGCCTGACTTGTAAGAATCCCAAAAGCAAACTCACAGCTGCGATTGCTGCTGGTGAGGAGGTCCCTGGGGGCACCGGATATTCGTGTTACCGAGGGTACGTCGTTTGATGGCGGCCTCGCAGGTTTCTGCAGCAGCGCGTGGGGAGACGGGAGACCAGCTGGATCGCGGACACGCAGGAGACGCGCTTCAGCCCTGGGAGACGTCTCGAGGCGCCACGGAGAGGCTACGGGGTGCTGTGGACACACTTCGCGACGCTACGGAGATGATGTGGAGCCACCGCAGAAGCGCTTGGAAACGCTGGGAGACGCTGGGAGACGCTGTGGAGACACTCATAGACGTCGTGCAGGCGCTGCGGAGACGACGGTGAGACAATGAGAGGTGCTGTACAGGCTTTGAAGACGCCGCGAAAGCTGCGGAGGCGCTTGTAGATAAGAGATGTAACTGACGCTCCCGGCGATATTGCAGAGATGCGGTCAAGACACTTCGGAGACCTCTTGAGACGCGCGGGACGCTTGCGGAAGACGTGGAGACGATGCGACGATGCCGTGGAAGCCACGGACCTGCTGCGGGAACGCCGGGAACACTGTGGAGACGGACCGTAAGGCCGTGGGCGCCAAGTCGGTGCGGCACGCGTCTGCCGCGCCACGGCCGTCTCGCTGTCCGACGGCAGTCAGCTGGCGACGGCGGTCAGCTGGCGTTGGCCGCCGGCGCGCCGCCTCTGGCGGCCGCACCATGCACGGATGATAACCGTCGGATTGGTCTGGGGCAACCATCGGGGCGGACTGGGGCAACCGTCGGAACAATCTAAAGCGACCGTCGGAGTAGACCTAGAGTGACCGTTGAAGTGGACCTGGCGCGACTGTCGGAGGGAAAATGTAGCGACCGGCGGAGTGGGCCCGGGGCAACTGTCGGAGTGAACCAGGAGCGATCGTTGGAGTTGACTTGGAGCGGCCGCCACGGTGGACCTGGAGCGACTGTCGGAGTGGACGTGGAGCGACCGTCGGAATGGGTGTGAAGCGAGGCTGGCGGGACGGGGCGCTAGCACTTCCCGTTGCGGAGTTTCAGTGCCTCGAAAAAACTACACGATCCGCGCCGGGTGATTCCGCACATATAATGCTGATGTCGATTTTGTTAGAACGAGCTGCTGTCTGAGGTTTTGTGCCAGGGTAACTACCCTATCCGAGTTCGCGCTTGAACTTCTTTTTCTTAGTGGTGCGTCGGAATCATTTGACATCTCTTGGCGGATCTCACCACTCGTCGTGATCACGCGCGGCTAGAAACAATTACGGCGGAAAGAAGTGAAATCAATTACTACGATGGGGCAACTGTGCTGCATTGGCATGATCATTTATAACTGGAGGCTATTGTATTTAAACTCAGCAATTGCCGGCGATTGTCGATGAGAAATGTTCGTAATCCTCCTCATTCTCACTAACCATCCTTTGCGCAATACGAATGTATCTCTTCGGCGCAATGGCGCAACCTGACGGGTAATTGAAGCACGCAATTATTTGATAGCACGGTCCGAGAGAGAACTGGCGTACCTTAGACCCAGTTAGGTTTCAGGTTTACACACTGGAGTTGTTTATGGACGCGCTCGAGTGAATGGTATGAAGGGACTGCTCTCACGGAAGCATCATGTGACACACACACGCATTCGCGGCGCTCAGAGCCAGCGGCGGATGCGTGTGCGCTCAGGAAGAGCTCAGAAAGCTATCAGCGCTCAGAAAGAGCGCGGATAACATCCGCTGCCGCTCAGCGATTCCAGCTCTTCTCTTGAATGACCACTGCTCTAATCTCTTCGATCGCCTCAACTATGTGCATTTGCAGTGACCTCATCGTGCAAAGCTGCTTTTGCAACGGAGTCACAGCAATTTCACCATCTTGCCATCTTTGTACAAGGATTTTAGCAGGCTGTGACGTCTATGCATGGCAAACAAGTTTTGCGAAACCCGGCTCCATCCCTAATTAGATCATAAGTTACGGCCACATTTACCACACAACCCAGCCAGACTATTGTGTGACTAGCTTTTAATGTCGTTTGTAATCTCCCCTTCACGACCAAACCTGATCTACCAATTGGGACAGCCTGTCGTCATCCGCTCTGGAATTCATCAGCTCGGGAGCGGCGCGAGCTCGCTTGAGACATGCAGCGAGTTGCGGTGCTCAAAACACCAAGCAATCGGCGGAATCTGTTGCCGCATTTTTGTTAGAACAGTTATTTTCTTGACTTGTTCAAATGTCTCTGATGTGAATAAATGTTGCATGGTTAGAAGTAAACAGTAAATAACATCAACGTGGAAACAGTGGGAAAGGGGAGCGTTAAGGATGCTTTCCACCTGCAAGGCTGTTGTTAAAACATCTGCTTTGATCACTGTAAGGAGCATCGAGGACTTCGTAGACTTGAACAAAGTCTTCTGCACCACCTGACGGAGAACATAAACGAGTCTTTAAATGCACGGGGTTGAGAAGAGTAATAAAGCAATGAACTTTTGCCAAATGTGAGCTTTTAACGTGAACTAGAAGAATGGGACTGCAACAAAAAACAAAACAAGTGGCAATCCAAATAGTGAGCCTGCTGTATCGATGCACTCGCTTCCACGCGTCGCTTAAGCACGCTAGCGTTGCACTACCGACCCCCACCGCCCCCCCCCCCCCCTCATCTCCCCTGCGCGGTCAGGCGGACGGGCTGTGACTCACTGATGGCATGTGGCAGCCACAACTGGTACTGTACTACTGCGGTCCACAACGGCTCGTCAGATGTCCGTTGGGTGTGTGGGAAGCAGCGTGAATTGTCCGCATTTTTATTTTTATTGATATATTTATTTACTGAATTGTATTCCACGTAATTCACGTGATAGTCCAAAAGTCACGCGATCCATGCATCCGATTTGCGTATGCTCTTCATTCATTCCACATTCGTCACTCTATCGTTGGCCAGGAATCTGCCGAATGTAGCTATCTTCTGGCTTGTCTTCTTGGACAAGAAAATCTGCCAGCAAGCATACCAACTAGAGGCGCAATTTCTCAGCCCACCGGCCCGCATATTTTTGACCCGCAAGAAACCATGGTTTTTTATTGGGTTATGGGACAGACTTGGCGAGCTTTCACAGGTCAAAAATTTCACCAGACAAAAACCATCATAAAACAAACATGTCATTTTTACAGGAAGAGCACCAATGATAGAAGCCCATGACAGACATGACGCCCCAGTAAAAGCAGGCCGCGCAAAGTGAACAGCTTTGAGCACGCATCTCACTGAAAAATTCAAAGACAACTCATATTTTCAAAACTATGACCTGATTTCATTGATCAGCAGTTAGGTGGGTCCTTATACAAATACAGCTGCACAATGCGCTTGGCTGCTATTTTGGGGGTCTGGTGCACTCAGCCTTTTTTGGTTCACGCAAAAACCATGCCTCGCAAAGCACAATTAGCATTCATGATTAATGAAATGCATAGGAAACTATGACCCTGCCAGCGCCCTAGCTTCATTCTCTTGCCAATACGGCCAGCAGTTACTGGCGTACTAAATACGTAACATTTGCCGAAGTATGAAAAAGTGGTGGCATAGTTTGTTTGTCCATGTCTGCACAAGATGCAATTTGCGACCACGATTACAAAACACTTACGGTTTTGGCATCCTGTGATTTTTCTTTGCTGCAGCTGCTTCTATTTTTCAGCATATTTTCAGAGAGGCTTTTGTTCTGTCTGATCTGTTCATTTTCCAACATTGTATCCACATGCAGTTTGGTGAGAAAAAATCATCTCGACATATGACGTCAATGAGGCACTCAATGAGAATCAAAATGTGCAGTCTGCAGACTTTGCAGCCTGTCGAAAGAGTTCCTCGAAATATTTTCTACAGCTTTTGTTTGCTTTCTGAGGTTTTTTGTGTGGCATGCAGCAATATGTCACTGTTTTGATGTCATGGCATATAGCTGTGTTGACATTTCGGCAACATGCCTGAATCGAGACAATGGCAGAAGTGTAAGTACATATCACCCAACTATGTCTTCATACTTCTGGTTTTTCTCGGAGGAATAAGCCTAATGCTACTGTCTTATCTACGTTGATAATCTTTCACTCAAATGCACTGAACAACTTACGTAACTGCCATCCTTGCTTTCACGTAGCTTTCACGCAGGATTGTATACAACCGCGCGGCGAGGGTTGTGGGATGAAACGTGGGTAGGGGTAGCGGAGAAACGTGGACCATTTCCAAGCTATCGTGTGGTGTTTATGTAGTGTGGTTGCACGATGTATCCAGCTAAGGACAGCACACACCATGTAGGTGTTCGGATCTGGCTCTTTAATGAGAAATATGGCATTGTGGCAATTGTAGCGCGATTGATTGATGATTGAGCTTGGGTACATTCAAATGTCCTGACACTTCCCATGGGTTAAACATCCAGCATTGTGTACCGTATTAGTGCAACGCTATCAGTTGAATACAATTTTAGAAGAAATTGCCTCTGGTCTATTAAAACGACGAAGAATGGTGAAATCTTTAGAGCAT